GTTTAATAAACTTTGCCTTTATAATTATTCAAATTGTGTGCATACATTTTTGGGGACACTCCATAGTTATTGGCCATTTGATACCCGTTGGTGTGAAGTGCCCATTTAAGTATTTTGCCCACTTTTCTTTCAGGTTGCTTGCCTCTCATTGATTTATAGGAATTCTTTTTTTTTAATATATTTTATTGATTTTTTTTTACAGAGAGGAAGGGAGAGGGATAGAGAGCTAGAAACATCAATTCAGCTGCCTCCTGCACATCCGCTCACTGGGGATGTGCCCGCAACCCAGGTACATGCCCTTGACTGGAATCGAGCCTGGGACCCTTCAGTCCACAGGCTGACGCTCCATCCGCAGAGCTAAAGCAGCCAGGGCAAAATATATTTTTATTGATTTCAGAGAGGAAGGGAGAGGGAGAGAGAGAGAGAAACACCAGTGATGAGAGAGAATCAGTGATCGGCTGCCTCCTGCACACCCCCTACTGGGGATTGGGCCTGCAACCCGAGCATGTGCCCTTGACCAGAATCAAACCTGTGATCCCCTCAGTTAGCATGCCGACGCTCTATCCACTGAGCCAAACCAGCTAGGGCTATACTGAAATTTTTTAATGATAGAGTTCTCTTCTTTTGTGACAGCAGAAAGCACCAAATGAAATCCCCCCTAAAATTTTCCAAGAGGTCACAATATTCTGTCCTCTGCTGAGATCCCCCAGACCTGGAATATGCTTCCCCGTTTCTTCTGGGCCCGTGATTCTCAAAGTATGGTCTCGGGGCCAGCAGTACCAGCATCACCTGGAAATCTGTTAGAAATGCACACTCTGGGCCCCATCCAGACCTGCTGCATCAGAAACTCTGGAGTCGGGGCCCAGCAATCCAGTTTTAACAGGATCTCCAGGTGGTTCTGATACCTTAGAACGTTTGAGAACCATTATTCCAATGTATGGCAAGTGTTCAGCTGATATTTCTTTGAGAAAGTCTCTGACTTCTCTTGGGACTGAGATTTTCATTGCCATTACATTTGGTATAAAGAGGTTGAAGGTGGTGAATTTATTAACAGGAGGACTTTGTTTATTCACGTCTGATGTGTATCTGGCCACGTCAGGAGTAATGAATAAAGTTCAGATAAGGCTGGTAGATCATCCTCGTTCTCTAGTTTTGTGGACGTTTTCATAAAAGTTTTGAAAGTATTACATGCTCGTGCAAAATAAAATTTCCTCAACCTACAGGGGCAGGAAATTTACTTTCAATATCACCAGGGCTCTCTGACCTGTTTTTAAATAGTTGGAATTTTCTCTCTTTTTATAACTTTTGTGCTGATTACTAAAAACAATAAATGCTCTTTATAAAATAGAGAAGATAAAGAAAAACTTAAAGAAGAAAATAAAGATCACTTATAATCCTCCTTCCCACATGACCATTGTTTCCACTTCTTGAAGACCCTGGCACTCTGCCTTTTTTTTAAAAAAAGAAAAGTTGAATCATATCATATATTCAAGTTTGTTACCTACCTTTTTCATTTAAGACTAAGAACACCACGGATATTTTTTTTCCATGTAGCTACATTTAGTGGTATAGCATTTAAAAAACAGCTGCATAATATTCTGTTGTATACACATGCCATAATTCACCTAACTAACCCCATTATGAGTAATTTAAGTTGTTTCAAATTTTCCACTGTTATAAGAAACCTTGCAGTGGACATTCTTGTATATACACCTTTGTACATTTGTCCAACTCTTAAGATAAATTCCTAGTTACGAACTCCCTGGGGAAAAAGTATATTTATATATTTTTAGGATTTCTATGTATATTACCCAATTTCTCTGAAGGAAGGTTATACCACTTACCTCCCCTCCACCAGTTGAAATGACCCATTTTCCTCCCCGTTCCCCATGGCGATGAGGCATTTTCTGACCGTGTGGCATCTCCCCACAGGTGTACTCTGATTATGAAAGCAACCCCCAGTTGCGCCAAGCCATCGAGTTTGCCTGCCACCAGTTCTACATTCTCCACCGGAAGCCCTTTGTGCTCCAGCTGTTTGCTAGTGTGGCCCCGCTGCTGGAGTTCCCGGTGAGTAAACTCTGGAAATCAACGAAGATCGAGCAAATGAGAAAAGCTCTTTATTCACAGCTTGCTGCTTGGAGGGCATCACCCACCATCACTCAGGTTTTGGCAGAGACTCAAAGGCAGACAGAGGGGAGAGAAAACTTTATAGGGAGAGGAGGGAAGGCTTCGGGTATGTTCTGATTGGAGGCTGTTGGCCTGGCGAAGCTGTCAGTGGGCGGAGTAGACACAGGGCATCCTATGTGATTGGTTAGTGGTGCATATTTGGTTTTCTCCGATTGGTCTTAAATTGGGAGCGGAGACAAGGATTAGCTATTAATCAAGTCCTGTCTGTTTGGGGGTTTATGGGTACAGGGGTTATTGTTTGGTTTCCACTAGAGCTAGTACCCTGATTTCCAACAAGTCTGATGGATTGCATGCTGGTGTCTGTGGACAGTGGGTTTGGGTTGGTTTCCTGGGCAGGTTACTGCAGTTTGGGGATCAGCAGTTCTATTGTTATGTATGGCCTGGCCATTGATCTTTGTATAATCAGTCTCTCAGCTCTCTTTCTTCAACCAGTGGGATAGGAATGCCATATATCATTTCTCTTTCCACAAGAAACTCGTTTCTGTTCAACATTTCTCTTCAACCCTCACCTCAGCCCCTAGATATAAATAGGCCAACTCTGCAGTTTTTTCATACTCATGAAAGGATGGAAAATATAAAATTATAAAAGGAAGAGTTCCTGATTCTACTTCCTTTCTATTCTCTGGCACTTACCTGACTTATTCTTTTTCTCCAGCGCATTTATATAGATCACATCCCTTACACATCTTTGTTTAAGTGATATGGATCTCACCACACCCACAAGAGAATTAAGCTCCATTAAAGCAAGACCCTGGTCTTTTTTTTGGTTTGTTTTTAGCTGTTGTTTTGAATGAATAGGTTTTTTTTTTGCTCTTGTTTTGTTTTTGCTTTTGTTTTGCACCTTAGTGCACAGAATGGTGACTAGCACAGAGTAGGAATTTAATAAGGAATTGTTATTTTAATAAAGGAATCAAATGAATAAGACAGATTTGAGATGCTGCGTATCTCCATTTTGGAGCTATGTTAGCAAATAAGATTTATAAAATTCCCAGAGCTATTAAATATGTTACCCCAAACGTAGTTGCACTGTTCAATTAACCCATTACAAATTTGCCTTTGCAAATGCTGAATCCTACAATTGCAGATGAGAGGGGCCATTGGCATGATGTTTTCCAGCAGTTGACATTATACTGTATTTTTATGAGTTTCCACAAATATCTCTTTTGTACTAGGTTAGCATTAAAACTCAAGTGTTCCACTCCATAGACACACAGCAGCATTGTTCGGTGCAGAATCATGTACACTGAATACGGTTCAATGTTGTGATTGTTATCAACAGTAGTGTTTATGAAATTTGGATTTCTGGTCAAACCGTATTCGTACTGAGGTGGAATTAAATAAACTAAAATTGCCTTTCTTTACACAGGATGCTGCCAATACTGGGTCCAGCAAAGGTGTGTCAGCTCAGTGCCTGTTTGACTTGCTGCAGTCCCTGGAGGGCGAGACCACGGACATCTTAGATATCTTAGAGCTGGTCAAGGCTGAGAAGCCGCTTAAGTCTTTAGGTAGAAGCAAAATTCATCTTGACATTTTTTTTCCTCTTTGTAATTTTTCTTAAAATAATAACTCTATGTTGAATATTTTGAACTAACTCAAAACAGCAAAAATAAATGGAACAGTGGTGTAAATTGAATGAGTACATTTTCCTATCGCCTGTTTTTCTTACGTTTCTTGTCAATCCTAAAGAGTAAGAAATTCTCTGCCATGAAAATTGTATCATAATGATGCTGAGTGAACCACTATTCGAGCACTGTACTTCTCAGAAAATGGGGTGTTCCTAGGCAATTCTAAGGGAATAACCCCCCCAAAAGGGCCTTTTATTATCCTGTTTGTCAGAAGGCATGTCTGACTTTAGGCCATCCAAACATATCTTCTAGGAAGTGAGCTTTTTAAAAAACTTCTCCCAAAAAGCACTTTTATTTGTCATCTTATTATTTAAAAGTTTTTTTAAAAAAACCAATAGACTTTTTAGTCACTTTAGATGAAGAAATTAATAGTGCTCTCAGTTTAGGAATAAAGTCTGATGAAAAAATGGCTGCAAAAGCTAACTGGAAAGAAAATGTTAGGAGTGATAAGCTGTTCTTATTTCCTGGCAGAATCCACTCTGATTATGCGCTTTTCGCCTTCTGTTCCTTCAGATTTCTGCTATGGAAATGAAGACCTGACTTTCTCCATAAGCGAGGCCATTAAGCTCTGTGTCACGGTGGTGGCATATGCTCCGGAATCGTTCAGAAGGTAACTGCAGACCTTTACTCGGTGATAAGTAAATATGGCAAAGGAAATAAAATTGAATGCGTACAGGGGTTATGTTTGCTGATATCAGCCTGTAACCTTCTGCCAGGTAAGTTTTCAAAAACTAAATTTGGGAAACTAGTCATAGCCGAGGTTCTGGAAAAAATAGTAAATCTTCATTAATTTGGAATTCCCTAATTTAGAATTTGTGCAGCAGCTTAGATGTTTAGTCTTGTTTAGAGACTATGTTCACATCTAATAAATTAACAGCAAATATAATTTTAGAATAGACATTTAATCTATTTAATAAAACTCCTTTCAAGAAGCAATGAAGCCCTAGCCAGTCTCCTCCGTGATTAGAACGTTAACCCGTGGAATGAAGGGTCCCCCCGGGTTCGATTCTGGTCAGGAGCATATATCTCAGTTGCAGCCTGGATCCCCAATCTGCGGGAAGCAGCCAATCAATGTGTCTCTTGATATTTCTCTCTGTCTCTCCTCCTCCTCCTCTCTCTAAAAATCAGTGGAAAAAATATCCTCAGGTGAGGATTAACAACAACAAAAAAAGAAGCAATGACAACTGTCACATTAAGAGCAAGAATATAAAATCTCTGGTCATCATTTCTACCAGTTTTCCCAAGTCAAATTTCGGTGTTTGTCTTCCTTCCTCCATGCTTTTAAATATGATACAACCAACAGAAGTAGGGTGTGAAATATGACCTGGTTTTCTTTCTGTTGGCATAGTCTTCAGATGCTGATGGTCCTGGAAGCTTTAGTCCCATGTTACCTACAGAAGCTAAAGAGACAGACATCACAGGTGGAGACAGTACCTGCTGCCCGAGAGGAGATTGCTGCCACGGCTGCTCTTGCGACATCCCTCCAGGCCCTTCTCTACAGTGTAGAGGTCCTCACCAGGTAATCCCATCAGCAGAAATATCCACAGCCTTGCCCTAGCCAGTTTGGCTCAGTGGATAGAGCTTCGGCCTGCGGACTGGTGTCCCAGGTTCTATTCTGGTCAAGGGCACAAGGCCGGGTTTCAGGCTCCATCTCCAGTAGGGAGCATGCAGGAGGCAGCCGATCAATGATTCTCTTTCATCACTGATGTTTCTCTCTCTCTCTCTCTCTCTCTCTCTCTCTCCCTCTCCCTCTCCCTCTCTCTTCCTCTCTGAAATCCATAAAAATATATTTAAAGAAAAGAAATATCCACAACCTTAAATTATACGTATCTACCAAAAAGATGAAAAAAAAATGTGATAGCTAAAAAATTTCTGAAACCAATCTTTATTTATATCTGCTCAAATTCAGTCCTTACGGCTTAAAACTGCAAATATCCCTAAGTTGTTTGGGTAAATAGTGCTAAGCACTATTACTATTGTTGTTGTTGTTGTACCATGATTGCTAAACACACATTTGCCTGTAGTTTGATGAGCATCTCTGGCAGTTTTAACCAATGCTAAACAAATCTTTTGTAAAAGGGCCAATTTAGTGAATATGAAAATGTGATCAACATTTTTATTGGCTCTTATTTTATGAAAATGTCTGCAATTCCAACTAAGCATTCTTTTATTATTTTACTATTTATAATGAGTTGTTTTTACTATAACTTTTAAAACTACATAACAAACATAATCTGCAAAATTTTATTCTAATGCCATAATTAACAAATTCTCTATGGGACAAGACTCAGTAGTGCTGAGAGAAGGGGCTGAAAGATTTGGGACTTAAAAGGTAAATTGTCATCAGAGTTCAGCCCTAAACAAAGTTGCAAGAAATTAGTATATCACAAGATTCTTGGGTGCAGAAGGCATTGAAAGACTGGTAAGGGGGGAGGGGCGGGAGGGATTGGAACAGAGACAGAAGATTGAGTGAGAGGAGTGGGGAAGGTAGATGCAGAACACTCTATAAAAGATTGACTTTCCTTCTCCACTGCCACCTAAAATTAGATGGAAGGGGATATTCTTCCCCGGACTGGAGATGGGAAACCTTCTTCCTGGCTTGGTATCTTTGCTCCTCCATCCCATTTGGCCACATCCTTAGCCTAAAATTCTATGATTTGCCCCCACCGAAAGGCACCAACTTCCCAGCCCCATCTTGCTCTGTTGATGACAGAGCTAGCCGAAATCCCTCAGTCCTGGGAGGACTTTTCCACATGCACCAGCCAGTGAGAGAGGGAGTGAGATTGTGACTAATTAAGTCAATATATGTGTAGGTTCTTATCATGAGATACATCGGCAACCTAAGCAAACAGAACATAACTCAAAAGCCTTGGGTGGGTTATCACTGCCGAAGTGCTCATATGCATCTAAACTGAGGAAATGGGGAGCAGTGGAGCAGAGAACCATGGCAAACTGCCAAGTCCAACGGGCAATAGTCCTAAGGTTTTTGGTGATGGTTTCAGAAAAATCCCAGGGGGAAGAACATCTGAAGAAGAAATATCAGACTTACACTCTTCTTTCCGCGCCATGTGGCTATGGCACCAGCGCCTCTCTGCCAGTAGAAGAGAGAGGCGCAGTCAGCTTTCCCCAAGTGACATTTTAGTTGTTTCTCCTTATCTTCTGCAATAGTGGTGCTTTCCTCCTTTCTAGTCTCTTTGGTAAGGCAATTAAATTACTGATTCACCCGAAATGAACATTGACTTACCCAAAATTCCACGAAGAATTATGGATGGAAGTCTGACATTTAAAATTCTATGACTTTAAATATCCCGGTGCATTTAATAATTTTTGCTGGAGTGTAAAACCAGCCTCATTGATTGGTTATAATTATTCACACACACAAAAATGGCTTTGTTGTTTTGACAAAAAGAAGATAATAAGAACCTCATTTCATTTCCACACTCTTAATTTCTTTACTCATGAAAAAAATTAAGTTATAGAGCTGGTAACACATCAACAAGTATATGACAATTGTAATAGCACTAGTTTCCTATTGTTGTGTAACGCATTACTAGAGGCTGAGGACAAAACACATGCATTATGTCATATTTCTGAAGGCCAGAAGTCAGGGCGGGCTCAGCTGTTCTCTTTGCTCAGGGTCTCACAAGGCCAAAGTCAAGATGTCAGTCAGTCTGGGTTCTCATCTGAAGGTTCTGGGGGCAGAATCCACACCAGGCAGCTTTAGGTCTGAGATCCCTTTGGTTTTCTGCCTGCCGGCCCCTCTCTGCTTTAAGAAGTCACTGCATTTTTCTCACCTGGCCCCCTCTGTGCTCCCACCAGCAAGGGCACCATGCATCCTCCTGCGTCGGATCTTTCTGCCAGAGAAAACTCTGCTGTTTAAGGCTGGTGTGGTGAGAATAGGCCTGCCAGATAACAACCTCCTTTTGGTCATATAAGGCAACATAGTCACTGGAGTAACACTCAGAGTGAGTCTTTAAATGTTGCTTCTCATTTTTAAATCCTGCCTCTCACAACAAAGGCCCAGGAGGAGAAGGTCTGGGTGATTACTGAAAGGCTCCTCACTTCTGGCCACGCCCAGCATGCGGAAAATTAGCATCAGAACAGCAAGCCTTAACCAGTTCCCACAAGAAATTGTTTTTGAAAAGCTGCGCCATCCCGTCCATGTCTAGAAATCTCCTTTCATTCTTTGGTAGTTCCTCACAAAAATAGAGTGGTTAATTATGATGTTGGTGGCCAAAATGGTATATACATTTTTACTTTTTACTTATTATGTATAATGGTTAACGTCCTGGTACCTGTAGAATTGAAAAATGTGCTCTTAACTCTTGATTAATACAGACTTAGAAGCCTGATTTCATACATGTCTGGTTTGAGGAGTCAGTTTATTACTCAGAACCAAGTGGAAAAACTTTTTTTATTGTTGACACTATTACAGATGTTCCTCATTTCAAGTGGAAGAACTTAAATCATGGTGAGCTTACAGATCCTTGGGAAGTAATGTGCCTTTTAAAGTGTCTCTCAGAACAAAGACAGCAAAAGGGTGTGACAGAAGAGCCCAAAGCTAGATAGCCTCTTTGAGACTCTAACCTAAAACTTATGTGAGCTTCAGTAACTTGAAGATTTCATAAATGTTTCCACTTCTGTTGTTGCTGTTGTTTTGTTGTGGTGGTTACTGTCCTTGCAGGCCCATGACAGCCCCACAGATGAGCAGGTGTGACCAAGGTCATAAAGGCGCCACCACAGCCAATCACACCATGTCGTCTGGGGTGAACACCAGGTAATTCACTAGCTTTATTCTTCCATGGTATCTCCATTTCATACAACCTGAATCTCCACTTGGGCATGAGAGGAATCCTGAAAATAGTCAATGTTAAGTGCAAAAATCTCCTTCCAAGGAAATAAAAAAGGAAGGTGAGAGTTTAGAGTTCAGGAAAATACTAAGGCTTCATTTGAGATAAACAAAGAGATACCCAAGCCCCCTTTCATACATTGGTATCTGTGTCAGTGTATTTGCATGAACATGAAGATGTTCTCTGCCTCCTGGGTGGTCTTTGAACTATTCCAGTGTTGTTTCATTTCCAAAAAAAAAAGGCAAATAAAACAATAATCATCCGGAGGTGGTTCCTCATTCCGGGGCAGGTATGCAGAGTCGGTTTTCTTTCATCTGGACAGATTTCCACAGATATTTTATCCAAACTGACCTAGGTCCTTCAGTGATGCTTTCAGGGTCATTGACGTAATCGCCTTCCCTGTTTTGGTGTAACTCAGACACTGGCTCTCCTAGTTAATACTTTGCCTGCATCATACTGTCTGTGTTAACCTCTAAATAGTCTAACACACACACACACACACACACACACACACACACACGAGTTTAATAAGCTTCTTCCTCCAAGGAAAAATTAAAACAGGGCAAACCCAAAATCAGTTTGAGAGAAAGTTCTTTCTTCTTAGTATGAAATAGTGAGCAGGACCTCTTAAGGAGAAACTAATTTTCCAGTCTCTCTGAAGCACATTTTTAAGTGTGTATTATTATTTTATGTGAAGTTAATTTTCTGCTCGTCATATATATTTACTAGAGGCCAAGTGCATGAATTCATGCGAAAGTGGGGTCTGGCCGGCCTGGCCCCAATCCCCAATCGGCAGATGGGAGCCGGGCCTATCAGGAGGAGGAGATGGCAGGAGGTTGGCCGGCCTGCTGTCCTGATCAGGCGATCAGGGCCAGGCTGGCTGGGGGGAGGGGCCACAGTTGATTGGCCTGTAAGCCCCGCCCCCAAATGGGGTGGGGGGACTGATCAGGGGCAGAGCTGGCTGAGGGGAGGGGCTGCGGGCCCAACAGGGTGGTGGGGGCCCATCGTGGGTGGGGCTGGCTGGGGGGGGGGGACGCTGGCCACAGTGGACATCATAGTTCAGGTTGTTATTGTGTTCCAGTTGCTGGCTTTTTATATATACAGATATTAAAAATAAAACAAATTCCAACCTGAACTATAAGTTACCACATATGATGATGAACTCATGCCTCAATTTCTTATATTGAGAAAAAATGATTATACTCTAAGTTATACTTAGGGGCTAGGTTCAACTACTGGATATAAGGCCTATGGGAAAAGATGGTTTCTAAAGTCCTACAAAGCAATAATTTCCACAAATGAGAGGAAGTCAGCCATATTTCTTCCTCTGATCATCTTCAAAGCATGTGGTATTAAAACTGTAACTTAGATTCACTCTACTTTCAAAGTTTTTAGAAAAATTTCCTTATTGACCACATTTCTTGACTTTGGATGCGTTTTTATAATATCTATCTTTCCATGGATTTTATGCCAATGGAACAGCTTTCAAAGCAGCTATAATTGCACCATATGTGGCAGCAAATGAAAGATCAAGATTTTATATTTTAGGATTTGTATGGGTGTATTTGTGAGTTTGTCAAAATGTATAGTTTTAATGGCTTCTCCTAAGAAAAAGTCCATAAGAAGCCCTATCATAGGCCTCTGTTCTTGCTCTGATAGTAACGCGACTGTGTTTCTGACTCCCAGGTACCAGGAGCAAAGCGCCAAACTGCACTTTATCAGGTACAGAAAGACAGCCCTAATTCCGTACCCATTCTGACGTCTTATGGTGATTGCCTTTGAGCTGGGTTATGATTCTGTTAGATTTCATATGATTATCACATGGCACCGTTTTTCTGGGTAAATCCTCAGGAATTGCTAATGTAAAGCACCACTACAATTTGGGATGATAATTCCTTCTAGGATGATAAACTTTGAGATGTGGGTTTCTCCAAGCCCCGTCTTGATTCATTAGCTGTTATATATGGAATCTTACCTTTTTCTTCCATGGGATGCTCTCCTCTCAGAGTTGCCGTACACACACCTTCCCAGGCCCCCAGTTAACCTTTTGTAATTTCCCAGGGAAAACCTTCACTTGCTGGAGGAGGGGCAAGGCCTGCCCAGAGAGGAGCTGGATGAGCGAATTGCCCGGGAGGAGTTCAGAAGACCTCGGGAGTCCCTGCTGAATATTTGCACTGAGTTCTACAAGCACTGCGGGCCAAGGCTGAAGATCTTGCAAAACCTGGCTGGGGAGCCTCGGGTCACGGCCCTGGAGTTGCTGGATGTGAAGTCCCACATGAGGTACTGTTCTCACTGTTCTTACCCAGAGCACAGATGTAACAGGCAGTGTCTGGGGTGGGGCGGCAGGGGTGGTCCCTAGATAAGAATTTGGGATACTCTGAATGATGTTTCCAGTGGTTTGATGCATACCATTGCAGGACCCTGGGGGATAATGTATATTAAATTCCTCAAAAAGAATCTAAGAATCTCAGGATGGACCCGGGGGGGGGGTGTTGGGGGGCAATATTCAGAAAAGCACAGCCTTCACTGCTTAGGCTCAGTGGATAAAGCGTGGACCTATATACTGAAGGATCCTGGGTTTGATTCTGATCAAAGGCACATACTTCAGGCTCAATCCCCTGCCCTTGTCAGGAGGCAACCAGTGGATGTATGTCTCTCTCACATCGATGTTTCTCTCTCTGTGTCTCTCCCTCTCCCTTCTACGCTCTCCAAAAATCAATGGGGAAAAGATGTCATTGTTTGAGGATTAACAAAAATAAAAAATAAAAATAATAAAAATTCTGTACAGAGGCCGAAACCGGTTTGGCTCAGTGAATAGAGCGTCGGCCTGCGGACTGGGGGGTCCCGGGTTTGATTCTGGTCGGGGGCATGTGCCTTGGTTGCGGGCACATCCCCTGTGGGGAGTGTGCAGGAGGCGGCTGATCAATGTCTCTCTCTCTCTCTCATCGATGTTTCTGACTCTCTGTCTCTCTCCCTTCCTCTCTGTGGAAAATCAATAAAATATATTTTATAAAAAGAAAAAAAAAATTCTATACAGAGGCCACTGACCATTTCAAAATTTTTACTCCTGCCTGGCCAGCATGGCTCAGTGGTTGAGTGTCAGCTTATGAAACAGGAGGTCACAGTTCAATTCCTGGTCAGGGCACATGCCCAGGTTGTGGGCTCAATCCCCAGTGTGGACCGTGCAGGAGGCAGCCCATCAATTATTCTCTCTCATCGTTGATGTTTGTATCTCTCTCCCCCTCTCTGAAATCAATAAACATATTTTTAAAACATTTTTACTCCTGCTATGCCAGCGAGAGGCCCTAGAATTGCATCTCTGTGCACTCATATTTCATTCTTCTGGTGGAGATGCTGTCTCAGTCATTGCTCAGATCATAAAGGCTGTAGTACATTTTCAGATTCCTAAAAGGAGCCTGATTCCAAAGGATCTTCTACTCAGATTTGCAATGGTGGTAAAGGTTCATAAAAATTCCTGGAAAGGGAAATTTCCGTAGATAGCAAAATATTTACCTGGAAAGTTTAGTATATCTATAAAGCTAAAGCTAGAGTTGGATTCTAGTCATTTAGAAATAATATTGCAGTTTGGCAAACACACCAGCTTTCTAATTATTGGCTTTTTTTTTCTTATAATTATCCCTTGAAAATTTTAGAACGTACCAAGTGAGGGAATATGAGAGTCCAAAAATGTATAGAGAACACAGGCTCTTTCTCTTCCAGGTTAATTTCACAGTCTGAATTGTTGACACTCATCCCCTCTCCTTTCACCCCCAGAACTCCAGAGCTTCATGCGTGTTCACTCTCCCCACTGTGCACTAATGGGGAAGAGTTTACCTCACACTGAGAATTTCAGCTCCTAGCTGAGAAAGGGGAGGACAGAAGTGTTAAGATCCTGTTGCCATAGCAACCCAGCACTCCATGTAATCCATCCCCCTTCCTTTGGCTAGCCAAGCCCAGTAATTCTGTGAACAGAGCAACACCACATTCCCAGTCAGAGAATCACTACTACCAACAGTCATTTTGTGGGAGAAAGGGGAAAACAGTCCTAGAAAATGGGAGAGAATCAGAGAGGGAGGAAGGGAGGGAGGGAGGGAGGGAGTGAGGATAGGTTTATTGGTGTGTATTTTTGAGAGAGAGAGAGAGAGAGAGAGAGAGAGAGAGAGAGAATGATTGTGGTAGTAACTGTGGGATAAATTGACCATCTCTATACCTACACTTAAGGCATTTGCAAAGGGAAAGGATGAGTCAGAGAGAGCTGGAGCTCCCTCTAGAGGCAACCCGTATTAAAGGTTAAATGAGCTAGCTCTAGTTTGGATCAGTGGATAGAGCCTCAGCCTGCAGACTGAAGGGTCCCGGGTTCAGTTATGGTCAAGGGCCCATGCCCAGATTGCAGA